AAAGAGTATGGGAAGAGAGGGAAGTGGAGAGGCTCCACAAGATTGTTGCTTTTGGATGAGAAATTTTCCGGCAAGGGAGTTCAAGAGCTACCTGAAGCAATTAAGGTTGTCCTCTTCCTCTGTATTATACCAGAATTAGGGAATTTTCAAGGTCTGGATGAGAAATTTCCCTGGTATGGTTTGTGTTGATTCAGTATCTTCTGTTGTGTGGTTGTCTCTATTCGATGGCATTGACATTATGGTTGAACCTAACTCCGAAGTCTTTTCTAAGTTTATGATGTTCTTGTTGGATCTAATTGAGAAATATGTCTGAATTTGATTGTGTTTGTCAGGTTCTATTCATGGAAAGTGAAAGGGGCGGAACAAACTCTATCGTAGAGCTAGTAAAATGCAAGCTTACTTTGTTCTATGATTACTGGCCAATGAACCAGGTAATGACAGAATTTTCTACTGTCTCTCATCAATAATGTGTGATGGATGTAAACAAAACGGTAATTGTAGATATTGGAGGCTTTACTTCCAAAGGGTATGATCGTCCCTTCAGCTTTCGAGATGGTTGGACATATCGCACATTTAAATCTGAGAAACGAGCATCTACCATACAAGAGGGTCATAGCCAAGGTGGTACGCTTGAGACATTTTTGCTATAGTTGAAACAAGAATTGACCAGCTTCGGCAATTGAACCTTACGAGCTTATCACCTTTTGTGTTTTCTCAGGTAGTTCTGGATAAAAATCAGCCAAAGATTCAAACCGTGGTCAATAAGATCGATCCTATTCACAATGACTACAGGACCATGCAACTAGAAATTTTAGCCGGAAATCATTCCCTCGTGACCATGGTTGTCGAGAATGGACTGCGTTTTCACGTTGATTTAGCAAGAGTGTATGTCTATTCTTCCTCTCATACCCAAAAGAAAAAAACTTTTACTGGATTTCAGGTGATAAAAAGCATGCCTTGGAGTGTTTGAGTGTCTTGGTGATCCACTTGGCCCGTTAAAGGCTTTTATCTCTGTTCAGTGATCAGAATCATTCTCAAGAAAAAGTATCCGCCATCAGTTCTGATTAAACGAGGCCTAAATCTGCATCGATATCGGATAATCATGTCTACTTGCAGAAGCATTTTCATGCGAGTGATGTTCTTTTGCTCGGTAATTTGACACTTTTCTTTGTTTTTTTCCTGTGCAAGATATTGGAATTCAAAACTAGCAACAGAGAGACAGAGGCTTCTGCTTGGATTCAATCACAATGATGTTGTCTGTATGTTTGCTACTTAGTACTTGACTCAATGGTACATCATAAGAATCATTGGTTATTCTCTCTATAGATTTCATCATCTCTTATGGAACTTGGTTGGAAGCTTTATGTGTTTCTTTCTAGCAAAAATCCTAATCCTTTGATGTTTTCTGTTGCATCTCAAGCATATATATATATATATTGCCCGTAGACGTTTTTCTGTCGGCCCTGTTTATGCATGAAGAGCCTTGAGGTGGAATTCCAATCTATCTTATGTGCCTCCATTTCATGTCTCTGTAACTGTCAGGTGATGTTTTTGCCGGGGTCGGTCCGATCGCCATTTCTGCATCAAGGATCGTAAAACGCGTATACGCAAATGACTTGAACCCTCAAGCTGTGGAGTATATGGTACAGAACAGTGTTCTGAATAAGCTAGAGAAGAAAATGGAGGTACCCCATTTGAGAACTGAGTTCTTACATTTATGATTCTTTTCGAAACCATTGCTAAACATATCCCGAATGCTGAATCTTATACCTTTTTCTAGATCTTTAACATGGATGGACGGAGATTCATAAAGGCTATGTTTTCAAGCGAAAAAGCCCGGAAAATCACCCGGGTAGTGATGAATCTACCAAACGACGCCACTGAATTTTTAGGTTTGGATTGAAATCTCATTCTCTGTCTTTTTTTTTTCTTACACTCATAATCCCTTGCCATGATCTTCTCTGCTATTAGATGCTTTCCGGGGAATATACAGCGACAGGCCAAAACACGAAGAATATTCTTTCCCGATCATCCATGTGTACGGATTCTCCAAGGCTCCAGACCCAGAATTCGATTTCCACGAGGTCAGAGATTCGGTCCAAAACCTTGCACATCTCATAATCATTTTCAAGTCGACCCATGAAACATGTTCTTGTGAATCTTTACTGATGATTTCTGTGTTAATGATTGAATTATGTTCTTGTTTTCTGATTTGAGTGCAGCGGATAAGGATCGCCCTATCGGAGGTGGCTTTCGACGTCAAAATGCGTAAGGTACGTCTCGTGGCTCCCGGAAAATGGATGTTATGTGCCTCCTTCGATCTTCCGAGGAGCGTAGCCTTCTCCAGAGCAAAGGTAGATGCTTAAAATGAAAAAGTTTAGGAATATAGGGGTACATTTGCAAATACAAAATTTTGCTTTGTAAAACACTCACTCGCATTCATTCTTTCCTTGTATGTATGTATGTATGTATGTATGTATGTGTGTGTGTATCGGCGGATGGTACAATGAATTTGTTAAAGCACACAACCAAACAGATGAAAGGGACACATCTTTGATGCATCATTAATTTAAGACCAAACAAAACAGACCGTAAAGGCTTTTACTTTGACATGAGAAACAGACTGTATGTATATATATATATATATATGTGTGTGTGAGTGTATATACATATGTATATATATATGTATGTATGTATCTGATGCTCAGTTTGGGATTTGCCGGTCCAGATTTCACCATCATTTTCAACATTGCTTCTGATCAATGTCTATTCATTTCCATATCCTTAGCACATTTTCTTCATTATTGCCAATTATGCGCACTTATTTTTGTCTAATTCTGATTTGCAATTACCACTCAAAATATGTTTAGGCACAATAAAATCCGTATAAATGAAGAATATAGACAATGTATTTTTGCTTTGGAAAATCATAGAGAAACCCTAATCTTGTTAAATTCTTTTTCTATAAATTTTCTGTATTTTTTTATCAGTTAGAATTTAGAAACATGAAATTTGTACCAATTTTGAGCTGTGGAGACTTCCAGGGGCACAATGGTAAATTCAGGCTTTAGGTCTCCTTTTGCAAACTGTACCATTGGGAGAGAGAGAGAGAGAATCTCAGTTGGAGATTGAGATCTACAGTAATGATATTATGAAATCTGAAAATAAATTTAATAAGATAAAAAAAATGAAATAAAATAAAAGTGGTCCTCAGGATTTTTTTTTTAGGAGAATTTGAAAGGTTGCATGCAAATGGATAGATAAGGAGGAAGATGTATAAAGGCACAACTAACAGTTGCCCTCTTGGAAACCCCCAAAAAAAAACTTTTTTTTTTTAGTTTCCTTTTTGGCAAACCTCTCTATGATTCAGATTCTCTCACTGCCAAACACCCTCTTTCCC